TATATATCCATGTTCTATATGCTTTACACTACTAGTACCCCAGCAAACCCTAGACCACTTTGAAACATCCTCAGCTTCCTGGGAAGCACACACTGCTAACAGCAGACAAGATCTTCCACTGTCCTTGGTGGACCCCCATCCCCATCTGGGTGAAATGAGGAAAATTCATGTAAGTAAAATGTCTACCCAAAGGACACAACGTCAGATCCCATCTAAACAATGGTCACTGTGCCAGTAATAATAATAATTGCATTTATATAGCGCATATCCATGCTCAAGAGCATGCTCTATGCGCTTTACAACTATTATTACCCCAGCAGACCCTTTGAGAACACTCTGAAACATTCTCGGCTTCCGCGGAAGCATACAGTGCAAGCTGCGGATTTCACGTGCTCAAACACTATCAAACTGACAAAATCGTTCGCTGTCTATAGCCGGGTACCCATTTCCACCTGGGTGAAGTGAGGAAAATGTGTGCAAAGTGCCTTTCCCAAGGACACAACGTCGGGCCCCTGACGGGATTCGAACCCACGACCTTACGGTTGCGAGTCCGAGAGCCTAACCACTAGACCACCGACGCCAGTGTGCTTTTATTTACTCAAATGGGCACTGTGTAAATGAAGAAACTACAAATGGCCGCTTTTAAGGACAAGCGTGCTAACCCAGATTTCGGGGGTTTCCAGAAATCTTGACCTACACAAAAATGGGCACTACCCTACCTATAGGAGAAGTTTGGTTTCATTGTTGTGTATATTTGTTTGGTTATAGAGAAAACTCTCCTTGTTTTTTTATGTAACTGAACAAGGGTCAAAAACTTTACCTTCGATTTTCTCAAAACAGCATTTTTCGGGATAGCCCACTTGTCCTTAAAAGCGACCAAATATAACGGGGCTTGATTCCAAGATCCATGTTACGGTTAACAGCCAGACAGCCTAACCACTAAACCACCGAACAAGAGAAAGACTCCTCACCAGCTACAACCTCATCGAGCTTGTCTCCTATAGGAAAGAAGGTTGCACTGGACAAGTTCAACAGCTTGAGCGCCCCTTCATCTGCTACATCTGATCCAGTGTTCTGCAGGAAATGTCAGTCAGCAATGAAGAATTGATCTTAATGCATTTGATTTGTATTTAAAACAACAACAACAACGACAACGACGATGATGATGATGATGATGATGATGATGATGATGATGATGATGATGATGATGAAGATGATGAAGATTATGATAAAAATTATGATTATAATAATAATAATATCTAACAACAACAACTACAACAACAATAATAATAATAACAATAACAATAAAAAATATTAATAATGACAATAATAATAATAACAGTTTATCTTTCAGTGCTCTCTGGTGATGACCAAAGCATCTGCAGAGGATAGTATTTCTTAAGAGAAAAGCAAAGAAATAAAGGGTAAGATAACTTGTGGATTCTGCAGTGGCCAATGAGTCCAATTCTGGCAGAGAAGATGAGAAGATTGAAGTTCATGAAAGCAAGCATTCTGGAAGTAATAATATCATGTTTGGTTTCTTCTGGTGTCCAGCATATTTATTCTAGAATTACAAAGTACCCATTTGATTAAATAGAAGCACATTGGCATAGTAATGGCTATTTAGTACACGGGAAAAAACAAGACAGGCAGAAACAAGAGTGAAAGAAAAGAAACAGGACCAACTTGAAAGTTGCTGATGATGCTGTTGTAATTGCTGTTCCCATAGAAAGATGGCAATATGTGTCCAAAATGATGATGATGATGATGATGAGGATGATAATGATGATGATGAGGATGATGATGATGATGATGATGATGATGATGATAATGATTAATCTTCCAATGTCCTGCAAGAAATGTCAAATTTATTCGTGCCAGTTCTGTATGAGCTCTCAACACGATGTGTTACCATTTTTAACCTATCTATACGCTCAGCCAGGACCATGGAAGTTAGCTTTTCTTTTTCTGAGCCTCAGCTCTTTCTGATATTGTCCATATCGCACCATTACATAATTTATAGTGAACGCTTTGTTGCTATGGCGTCATCACTCACTTTTTTTTTTCAGATACTTTGTTCCTGAAGAATCCCAAGGGGCAAAACATTGAACATCTATAAGAACATCTGATTTTTTATGACCAACCTTATCCAAGTCTCAAGTATACTTTTACTACTGTAAAACGTAATGATGATAATGATGATGATGATGATGATGATGATAATGATGATGGTGATGATGATGGTGATGGTGATGGTGATGGTGATGGTGATGGTGATGGTGATGATGATGGAATATTAAAGAGGACCATAATGATGAAACACACTTACTGCTGTTTCCAGATCAATTTTGTCGTCAGAGTACATCACTGAGTACAGTGTCTCCCCTAGAGCCTCAATGCCATACCCGTCAAGGTTTTCATAGTCGCTACGTCTACCCTGAACTTGATTCATCAGTTTCCCCATTTCCTGTCAAAAAGACAAAGTATAATAACCAAAATACCTTTTCTTTTTCAAATCCCACTTTAGTAATTTAGATTTAGTAAGTATTATCGCACATGCAAAACATACTCTGTCAAAAAGACAAATTATAATCGCTAAGATGTCTTTCATCTTTGAATTCCACTGTAACAATTTTTTAAAGTTTTGATTAGAGTTTTATGGCACTTTCAAAACAAATAGGATAAATAAGTTTCGAAGATTAGAGATGTTGCAAGTAAAGAGTAACATACAAAGAAAAGAAGGAAGAGAGACAAGTAGTAGTAGTATAGGGTTTTACAGCGCTCGCAACTGCGTAAGGTCATATGAGCGCGCGAAACACTAGTTGCTTGCATTCGTAACAGTTCACTGCACGGTTGGTTAGCTTTTAGTCTTTAAAACGTTAAAATGTTTAAAAATCAGTGTAGATATATATAAATTTTCAATCTAAAACAATTTTTCTAGTTAACATAAAAATTTTAAATAGTATCAACTTCACTTTACAACTTACCAATGGCCTTTATAAAATTCAAAATTCTGCTGGGAACAACGACGGAAAAAATGTCTTGCAATTTCTTGCATTTATAATATTTCCTTCGGATCCCTCCAAAGTCAAGACATTCGGTTAAGATGTGTCTAATGGTAAAATCTGTGTCGCATCCGACACAGAACGGCTTCTCATCTCCCTGTAGGAGGTATTTGTGGGTCAGGGCCGTGTGTCCGATGCGCAATCGAGTAAAAATGACTTCGTCTCTTCTGGAGTGGTCCGAAGGATTTCGCTGTTCCAGTTTGGGTTTTATTTCATATAGTTTATTGTTTTTCTGGTTTTCCCAATGGCTCTCCCACAGACTGGAAGGAGAGACAAGAATAATAGATGTTTGATAGGAAATAAGGAGCAAACTGCACCAGAGCATCCGCCAACCGCTCACCCATTTTCCTATGTAGCATGAGAAAGAACTTGCATCAATTTTTTCTAAATTTTCCCAGAGAAAAAAGTATGCACCTGCGGTGTAATGTTTACGGTGCCTATTGCTCAACATGCATAAGATGAGAATTCAGTTCCCAAGTGAGGAGGATGTAATAACAATAATAATTGCATTTACATGGCAAATATCCTCCCTCTACAGCATGCAATATGCCCTTTACAACTTGTATTATTACCCCAGGAGACCCTTGATCCCTCAGTGATGTTCTCGGCTTCCTGGGAAGCATACAGTGCAAGCTGCAGACTGCATGTGCTTAAACACTAACAAGCTGACAATATTTTTTGTTGCCTACAGCTGGGTACCCATTCCTACTTGGATGAAGTGAGGAAAATTTGTGTAAAGTGCCTTTCCCAAGGACACAACATCGGGTCCCTAACAAAAATATGTTTTTGAGTATGTCTATCTTTTAGCTGGGATGTATCTCACACTATCAAGACATCCTTGACAGGATGGGCAAAGAGGCTAACCACCTTGAAGCAGGCATTTAAAAAAACGTATTAAGGCATGCTGTGTGACCTGAATTTCTAAATATAGAATTTGTTTTTGTTTTTGGACAAAAGATAGAACTTGTACCTTTGCATTACAAAACTTGTTTGAAAATCAAAGAGCCAACATCTCATGAATAGCAGTTACAGACTTTGCTGTCGCACACAAGGAGATTCAAGTTCGATTCCCAAGTAGGGAGAACATTTATATTCAGAATCTTGGTCTTTCAGCTGGAATGTTGAATCCCTCTCAGTCTGGGTTGGCCCTAACAGGCAGGATCAGAAGCCCACTTCCTAAATATGATCTAAATTGTGTCGATGGGGGCATAAAAATAGTTACGTTTTTAAAAAGAAGAAAAAGAAAACAGACCGAGACGGGTGAACAGCTTGACACACACAGACCCAAAAAACACTGAGGAGGGGGGGGGGGGGGGGGGTAGATGTAAAAATAGGAATGTCTGTATGTATACCTGGGACAGCCCCTGTTTTTTGACATCCTCTTTCTTTTGCCTCTCCTCCATGACCTTGACCTTTTCAAAGATTGACTCCTCAGACTGCAAGCAAAGGGCATAAATGTCAATTCCTGTAGAATTTATTGATTAAGTATTGACTTTTTCCTTCTTTCTTATTTTCAACTCACACAGACGATAGTTTCAGCATTGCACCCCAAGATCTTAGAGGAATATGTTTTATCTACCCAACACCAAGCTGTCTCCTTTTCATATCAGTACTTTGAAAGAGGTTGCCTTATTGGCTTGTTATTGTTAAGCTTTGCAGTTGTGCTGCTGTTGTGTGTGTGTGTGTGTGTGTGTGTGTGTGTGTGTGTGTGCGTGCGTGCGTGTGTGTGTGTGTGCGTGCGTGCGTGCGTGCGTGCGTGCGTGCGTGCGTGCGTGCGTGCGTGCGTGCGTGCGTGCGTGCGTGCGTGCGTGTGTGCGTGCGTGCGTGTGTGTGTGTGTGTGCGTGCGTGTGTGTGTGTGTGTGTGTGGTAGCCTATCTGTTTGAAATGTTTGGAGCCCCGAAGAGCGTGCTCTTTGCAAGGGCCACCACCTCCCTTAAAGGAGGTGCGCTGTCTCTCTGGAGGCGGTGTCGGTGTCGGTGTCGGCTTGGGTTTGGTGTCCTTTTGTTTGACCTGGGTTTTTTTCTCTGAGATATTTTAAATTCTCATGTTCTTTTCCCTCCCATCTTTGACCGTTTAATTTTTGGAATCCTATTTAAATTGTTTTCTCTTAGTCTCCTCATAACATTCGGAGGTATAGAGATACGGTTCATTGGTCTAAATAACAACAGAGTGTCTGCGGAGTATGTTGTTCTATTTCCCATTTCAATGAATAGGTCTACACTATCTGTGTTAAAAACCACAGAGTGAGTGACCATTTTGGAAAAGTGTTAATCCTCTTGTTTTGTAACTAATGTCACACTTCCAGCCGAGATACATGCTATTGCCATCAAATGAATACCGTAACTAAACAGCAGTCTTTAGAATTACGAAAATGATAACCGATGATTGGTGACCATGAAGATTAGGGAAAGCTCATATGGAAACAATCGTGAATCATAGATCGAGCCTCTGTCTCTGATTAGGTAGAAACAATGAGGTTCACTGCAGAGCATAAATAAAAATTTGACGTGATGATTATTTGCCAACCGGAAGTCTTAGGTTGTTGTTGCTGTTTGTTGTTTTGTTAGACCTTATCAAGTGCCAACAAAATCACAATCAAGGTAAAACATAAAGTCAACATGTTATGATAATAGTTTGAGTCATTTACAATCTTAGCTTTAAGAAAATCAATACAAAAACTTCTTTAGAGCAGGTTCAACTGCACATGTGTAACAAAGATCAGCTGATTTTACTTACCTGAAGAACCGCTGGATCATAACTTTCATCTGTGAGATTGGAAGTTGAACAGATCATTCTTTGTCCGAAGGAATTCAAGTTTCTCCCCACCTGAAAATATTAGGATGAGCAATCGTTAGACAGGGGAAAACAAGGAATTTTAGTTTTAGTAGAGGTTTTACGGCGCTCGCAGCTGCATAAGGTCATATGAGCGCCAGAAGATTAGAGGTGTTACAAGAAAGTAACAAACATATATAAGAAGAAGGGGAGATAAGGATGATAGATGTTTCATAGGAAAGAAAAAGAAAGCAAACCACATCAGAACACCCACCAACCACCAATGAAAAAAAAAATGAATTGATGAAAGCAGTCCTGTGCAATGCTGATCATAGGTCAAGACCACACTGGAAAAGTAAACCTGATTTAATCTACCTTTTAAGCTGTTACAATTTTTTTTTCAGTAGGGCCTAAGCACCAAAATGTGACCAAAACGCACAAAACAAAATGATATGAGGTAAACTTTCTTAATATTAGAGACAACCCTTCCCTCAACACAAAGGAGTTTAAAGTTATATGGCCATGACAGCTTGTCAGCCCATTCCACATGCAACTCTGAACCACTCCACTCACTCATACCCTGACCCATCTGACCCACCAAAGTCTATGAACCACTCAACTCACCTATACCCTGACCCATATGACCCACCAAAACCCTTGAACCACTGAAGAAGAAGAATAAGGAGGAGGAGGAGGAGGAGGAGGAGGAGGAGGAGGAGGAGGAGGAGGAGGAGGAGGAGGAGGAGGAGGAGGAGGAGGAGAAGAAGAAGAAGATTTCTATAACATACACTCCCAAACTGGGCTCTAGGCGCAATACATCAGTAAGGAAACTTTAAAAAAGAGAGAGAAAAGAGAGAGAGATAGCGAGAGAGGGAGAGAGAAAGAGAGAGAGAGATAGAGGGAGAGAGAGAGAGAGAGAGAGAGAGACAGACAGAGACAGAGACAGAGAGAGAGACAAAGAGAGAGACAGAGAGAGAGAGAGAGAGAGAGAGAGAGAGAGAGAGAGAGAGAGAGAGAGAACGGAAATGTTTTGCTATCTGTATAGAATTAATGTTTTAATGAATGTTTCTAGTTACTCACGTTTCAACTTTATTTTGACTGTTCGTGAATTTTTATTGCATTGTATATTTTTAGTGAACACATTTTCAACCTCACTGCGAGACTGTTTTTCTGGTATAAAATTTTACACATATGCATTTATATTATATGTATAATACTTTGTTTTACGTACACATTTGTGTCGATTAATTTTTAAGATGTGATGTCTTTTTCATTGTAATGCGCATTGAGCATCTTTTAGGAAATGGAAATGCGCAGTATAAATGCTATTTATTATTATTATTATTAAATTCAAGCAACATATTTACAAGACTTTTCATGTTTATTCTACACTAAAAATGGATTTTTGAAGATGTTTTTTGACACAAGTCATCTTTACGTTATATCAGAGACTGCGTGAGAATATTTGCTGTCAGAGCCAATTTGTAGAAACTTTCGACAAATCTTTCATAAAAACAAACCCCATCATACTACAATACCAATATTTAGGTCAGCCTGTCAAGTAACCTGACCTAGGAAGTGTGCATGAGTGAAACAAAACAGTAAGGGATGACAGGTTTTGTGCATTTGTAGTAGGGCTGGATCCTGCTCGTCAAATTTGAGAGTGGCAATTCGCAATTCAGTCGGCTTCAATGAATCGCAAGTACGCGAGCACTCGTGGAGCTGTGGCGGAACACTGACTGAAACGGAACAGTGTCATATCAACGCCTCTTGGCGAGCGCGAGTCCCACTCTTGTTGTTCCGCCATCCTCTCCATCCCACACCCTTTGTTGCGCTGCTCTATCAACTGACCTCAATTAGTGACCCCCATAAATTCCCCCCCCCCCTCCAACCCCACCATTCGCTAAAACAATGGCTCCATAAAATTCCTTCTGTCTATTGGTTGGACCCCGTTCATTTTGTTTTAATAGGGGGGTTGGACTATACCATCTTTTGTAAAACAAGGGGAGCCATACTAAGTGTTCCGTTCCGTTCTTGCGCCGTGACTCGACTCAGCAGTAGGTTAAACAAGCCACAAGGTGGTGACAGCGACAGGTGAGTGAATCGGAAATCGTTTGGCGATACTGTTCCGCGTTCCGCTGAAGTGAATCGTGAATTGCGTTCCGCAGGAAAGAGTGGCGATTCAGTTCCGTTCTCACGCTTGTGGCCCAGCCCTAATTTGTAGCTTGTTCCACTTCATGAGCAAAGCAAAGTCACAAAGCCACAAAGCCACTCTTTGTAATTTCTAGCCTTGTCATTGACGGAAGATTTCTACGACTCATTCATAAAAATCGACTCCTTAACAATTCAAAATTTAGGTCAGCTTTTTTCCTCTTAAGTGATCTGCGGCATGCATGAATACACTGACATAGTGACGGATCGGAGGCGCCACGCATATATGTACCATCCACACTTCATGAACCCAGCTAGGTCAATTTTGCAAAATTTCTAGTTCTAATTGACCATGAATTTTCTTTAAAGATTTTATAATGACACTTTGAAACTGTTTAATTGTCTTAAACTGCTTTTTAAAAGTTGCACTTTAGATAGTAACAATGTTGTCAAAGATTTCAGAGACAAACAACTTGGCTGGCTGATCGATCGATATCAATTAGGAGAAGAACTTGTTCCAGATCTAAAGGAAAGTTTTATGCCAATTCACTCTAAACTTTGTTACAGCATTCTACCTGATAATATTAACCAGATCTTACAAACTACTGAAGTTATCTTAGTTAAAAATGTTTTCATCAAGTTCTTAAGAAATGATTTTTGTACCATAAAATGAAATTAAACGCAATTCTTCAAACTGCATCATTTGGCATCTTTCACCAGGCACACACACACACACAATATATATATATATATATATATATATATATATATACAAGGATTCCATAAAAACCAAAATCAAATTAAAAAACAAACCACAGCCTGTAGCACAAAGGAAGAATATGTCGTTTCAAGGAGTTGCTTCTTCAGAGAACTCTTTTCAAAGGCGTAGTCTGTTGGATTATCGGTGGCCACCTGCTCGGCTGCACCCTCTAGAATCCCACTGGTAATGGTTATCTGGGGAATGCAATCTTCCTGTCATAGCCTTGTTCTAAATTTTTCAGGAGAGAGAAAAAACTGATTCATTCTTTTAGCAATTTGGCCTGCATACTGTATCATTCCTTCCTTTTTTCTCAACATTTAGAATTTGCATTTCGCCAAAATATTTTTTGAGCACATGCAACTGATACCACAGATTAAGAAACTATAGTTAAAAATAATGTCCAAATTTTTAGCTTCATACATTTGGCCAGCAATATGCAAAACTATCAGACGACATTCTCAAATGATCTGGAGTACATCTACTTTAAATCTAGAATATTATACTTCTCCCTGCCCAGTATACTCCGATCTAAAATGAGGAATGTAAAGGGGGAAAGAATACAGATATGTAATACACAATGTTTCATCCACACCCTTCCCCCCCCCCTTCCCCCTGATTAAAATATTTCCACATGTAACAAAATGGTCCAGTCAGCAGCAGATGTGTTTTAAAAAAGGCACAAAGTATACAAACAAGCAAGGATTGTAAAAATTTAGCCAATAAATGTAAGGTTGTAACCAAACTGGGATAAAAAATGTGAGGCAGCGTGGTGGAATCAGGCGCTCGTCAAAATAATGAAATCAAAGAAAACAGCAGTTTTCTCCCTGCTAAGCAATTTTTATTTAATTTTTCTTTTTTGGCTCAACACCTTTTATGTCCATTTACCAACAAATTCCGTTGAGGATCTCACCGAAAAACATTGATTAAAAGCACAAAAATATAAATTTACAGTTTCCATGGACTCTCCAGCTTTGGAATTTACCAAGCCTTGGCGGCCATTTTCTCGCTATTTTTTCCTCTGAAACCAGGTGACTCCCACCTTCTTCAATCCAAAATACCTGCACTTCTATTGAAAATGGATGGGTAATTTTTTCATTGAAAGCAAGACAAATGAACAGGCTTTAAGATGATACCAATAACTCAATAAGCCCAAAAATTGACAAGAGCCTGATTCCACCACGCTGCCTCACAAATGTTGTTGTCTTTCCCATGTTGTTTTGCCAGTCAACCCAGTGGTCTGACAAAGAACCAAGATATATTTCTGCTTTTGAAACTTCAGTTGAAATTGTCTAAGATGGCCACCCATTGTCGAGGAGCAAAGTGATTGTCTTAGACAGGTGGCCGTCTTACACAGTGTCACTATAATTTTTTTTTTAATACACAAGGGTGGAAATGGGAAGTGGCTGTTTGTACAAAAGATTGTCTCAAGTAATACAGGTGGCCTTTAGAGCAAATTCGACGTTACCTACATGTTACAAAACCATAAAAAATGCACAATTTTCCTCCTCCTCCTCCTCCTCCTCCTCCTCCTCCTCCTCCTCCTCCTCCTCCTCCTCCTCCTCCTCCCCTCCTCCTCTCCCTCCTTCCCTCCTACTCCTCTCCTCCATTCCCAAACCTCCATTTACCAACATGTATAATATACATGCTCATCAATCCCCCCCCCCCCCCCCAAACCCACCACCATTTACCAACCTGTATAGTTTGTGTGAACTCAGTATAGTCACTCTGTACGTCGTAGATCCGAGTAATTACCTGGTATTGACCACTATTATCATCAGGCACTATGGGAAGAGTGCCTCTAGGGCTCGAGGCCTCAGCTGTCACAAAATAAAAATGTCATCAATCTGACCATTTTAAAAAGTGGAATTCAAACTGCTAAACAGAAATACCCACTACATCACCATGGTGACCAAGTGGTATATGATCGAGTCACAAATGCTCAACTGTAGGAGAGAACAAGCCAAAGGCCTGAAAGGGAAGACATACAGGTGAAGAAATGAAAATGGATTGGGTTCACCCTGAGGAGACCCCCGACAAGCATCATCAGACAGGCTTTGACATGGAATTCACAAGGAAAATGTAAGAAAGGAAGACCAAAGATGACATGGAGGCGAGCGGTACAAGTGGAAATGGAAAAGGCGAGGACATCATGGAAACAGCTAGAAAAGGATGCACAGGACAGGCTTTGCTGGAGAAATATTGTTGATGGCCTAGGCTCCACTGAAGTTAAAAAGGGCAAAAGAGAGAGAGATCATCATGGTGCTGAACAATTGACCTTGGTCATTTTTTTTCCATTTTGAGAGAACTATTTAAAAACATTCTCATTTTTTCAATAATTATGACTAATTAGGCCATTTTGCAATTTCTTAAATCAAAAAAATATGTATTGGCACTTTTTTACTTTATTTTATATAGAAAAACGCATTGCTGTATCAATCCACATATGGCCAAAAGTCAGACTTAGGCCAATGGTTCAGCATCATGACGATATAATAATAAAATATAAAAGATTGCTGAAAAATTGTTTAAAACACTGTATCATATCGACTGCTCAGTACAAGATTCCATCATACATCACTTTTCAAAATGACGTATGACAAGAGTCTTATATTTAGCAGTTTAATACACAATTAGGACAAAAAAGTATTCTTTCTCTCTCTCTCTCTCTCTCTCTCTCTCTCTCTCTCTCTCTCTCTCTCTCTTTCTCTCTCTCGTGGTTAGGCTCTCGGACTTGCAACATAAGGTTGTGGGTTCGAATCCCGTCAGGGGGCCCAACGTTGTGTCCTTGGGAAAGGCACTTTACACGAATTTTCCTTACTTCACCCACGTGAGAATGGGTACCCAGCTATAGACAGCGGAAGATCTTGTCAGCTTGTTAGTGTTCGAGCGCTTATAATCATCTGCTTGCACTGTATGCTTCCCTGAAATTTGAGAATGTTTCTGAGTGTTCTATGGAGTGCTAGGGTAATAACGTATAGTGTAAAACGCATAGAGCTTGCTGTCAAGCGGAGATATGTGCAAAACAAATGCTATTATAATTATCATTATCAAAAGATTTTTTGTTTGTTCATTCTTTTCAAAGCAAAATAAGTTTTTTAGTTTTAGTAAGACTTTTACTGCACTTGCAACACAATAAGGTCATATAAGTACTGAAGAATAGTTTATGTGTTACAAGAGAGTAACATACACAAAATAGAAGGAGGGGAGATAAGGACGGCAGATGTTTGATAGGAAAGAAGGAGCAAACCACACCAGAGCACCCGCCAACCACCTGCATGTAATGCATCCAAACTAGTGAAAGAAAGAAAAAGAGAAAAGCAAAACCTCCTTGAAAAAATGGGATTATTTCTTCGCCGTTCCTGACATAGTGTTTGTAGGTGAGGGCAAATGGTCTGTTGCCTGCGCGATACTCATCTTCAAACCCGTCATCCAGCCATCCGTGACACGTCGTTTGAAATAAGGAGGTCAAGTTGCCTGAATACAAATAGAGAGAAAGTTTTAGTTTTACGGCGCTCGCAACTGCCTAAGGTCATATTATTATGAGCATCAGAAGATTAGAGGTGTTACAAGAGAGTGACAAACATAAAAAAGAAGAAGGGGAGATAAAGACGATAGATATTTGATAGGAAAGAAAACCAAACCACTCCAGAGCACCCGCCAACCACCTACAAGTAGAGAGAAAGAGGCAAAATAGATTTTAGGTTTGAAAAGGAACAAAAACAAATGTGAGACAGCGTGGTGGAATCAGGCTCTCGTCAAAATAATCAAAGTGAAGAAACTTGCATTTTTCCACAAGTTTGTGGATTTTTATCAGATTTTTGTTTTTGGGCTCAACACCTTTCATGCCCATTAAAGAACTCATTTCTGCGTGGATTTTTCTGAAAAACGTTGATTAAAGACACAAAAGATGTAAATTTTCAGTTACCACGAACTCTTAAGCTAAGAAAATAACGAATCTTTGGCGGCCATTTTCTCACTAATTTTACCTCTGAAAACAGGTGACCTCCACCTCCTTCATTCTCAAATATCTCGACTTGTATTTAAGATAAACAGAAATTTTTTTCATCCAATGATACCAATACCTCTACAAGCCCAAAAATTGACGAGAGCCTGATTCCACCATGCTGCCTCACAAATAGGTCCCCAGCATAATGAAAATAAAGTGGTCAAGTTGTCAAAATATATGTGAGGCAGCGTGGTGAAATAAGGCTCTCGTCAATTTTGGGGCATATAGAGTTATTGGTACCATCTTAAAACTTGTCCATTTGCCTAGTTTTGGATGAAAACAATATCTATTTATCTTGGATACAAGTCAAGATATTGGTGATTGAAGGAGGAGGGGTGGGCTTGTTTCAGAGGTAAAATTAGCCAGAAAATGGGCGCCAAAGTTGAGTCATTTCCTAAGCTTGAGAGCGCATGGAAACTAAAAATTTACCTCTTATGCATTAAATCAACTGTTTTCAGCACAATCCACACAGAAATGTGTTCTTTACAGGGCATGAAAGATGTTGAGCCAAAAAACAAAAATTCTATAAAAATTCCCAAACCAGCGGAAAAATGCTAGTTACTTCACTTTGTCTATTTTGACGAGCGCCTGATTTCACCACGCTGCTTCACATATGTAGACAGGAAGGGGTAAAATAAGTTTGAGGTATGGAAAGGAACAAAAATATGAGTCTTGAGCATCAATATTAAATATTGTTTTCACTAAAGATATTTCAAAGATTAGAAGTCATAGATCTGTAGAAATATTACTGTCCCCGTCGTTTTAAGCTAGAAAAATTATGAAATTATGAAAACTGAGCCCAAAAATGTGAAATTATGCGATTCTGTTAATCTTAACAAAGAATTGTAAAGGAAAATAATCAGAAATTAAGCAAAAAATGACCAAATTTTGCTCAATTATGCGGGGTGCATAAAACCACGGGGAGAGATATTACCACTGTATGAACAATGCTTTGAAATACACATCCAACAAAAACAATCAAATTTCCATCAATTACATTTCAAAAATACCTACAATAAGGATGAGGGGAGGGAGGAGGGGGATGAGAAGGAGAACATGGAGGAGAGGAAACAGGAGGGAGGGGAGGAGGAGGAGGAGGAGGAAATGAATCATATATGAAGAAGTTGAAAGATGGTAGAAAAACAAGAAAAGAAAGAGGAGAAGGAGAACGTTTATTTAGGAAAAGTTTGACAGCTTTCGCAACTGCATTAGGTTGTATGAGCACATGAGACACAAGTTAATCATGTTCACTTTGGTTCATAGCATGGCTTGATTTTACTTTGCAAGTCGAAATGGTTGAAATACTCTAAAATATGATGATGGTGGAGGAGGAGGAGGAGGAGGAGG